CTTCTTCTTCTTCTTCTTCTTCTTCTTCTTCTTCTTCTTCTTCTTCTTCTTCTTCTTCTTCTTCTTGAAATAAGCATCAGTGAGGTGTTTGGGATTTTCACTTTGCTGATATCACTTTTTGTAGAGGTGACATTGACAAATTTCTGATGTGTTCTTCAGAGAGGAACACAATTAAGGCTAAGAGGCCCAGTCACAAGTAGCAAGCCACTGGCCAACTGCTGCAGGAAGACCACTCTGTTACCTCTGTGATGCCCGGTGAGGATGATCAAGATAGTACTGGGAGTGATGCTAGCTCAAAGTTTCCTCACATGCTGACAGAAGGTTTTCTTGTCATGACTCAAGAGCTTTTGGGGCACATCTTCAGTAGGGTAGTATGTAAGCAATTTTCAAAGCTTAACCACATGGGTACCTCCATTCTTGTCCCCACCAACTGATTTTGTGATCATAGCAAGAACTTTTTCCTTCTCAACCTTTGATTTACCAGCTGTGTACTTTCTCTTGTACAAAGCCTTTCTGGAATACATTACAGATTGGGAGTATCTACCAGTTCCTCTAACCAGGACAGGATTTTAGCTGTAGTGGGATTGACCCTTTTTGGATTTTTTTGTCTTTACCTTACCCTTTTTACCAGTGCCACTGGCAGCAGTCTTCTTGGCTTCAATTTTCTTCTTTTTAGTGTCTGGCTTTTCAGTTTTATCACCAGCCATCTTGCAAGAGGGGAAAACCTGAAGCTTTTTAATTCTTGTTTTTTTTCCCCTTTTGGTACTGGGGATCAAACTCACGACCATGCACTTTTGAAGCTTATTAATTCTTGTGTCATTTTGATTCTGCCATAAAATTCAAAAATTGCTTATCTGGTAATTTTAGAAATTAAGTTCTTCAATTCTATAATTTCCATTTTGTTTTTTATATGATTTCTTTCTCTTTTGCTCATTCTTTGGAGAACATTATGCTTTATGTTAATAATTTTAGTTTATCAAGTAATCAGAGCAATAAAATTCAGATAATTTTGTCTAGATGATTTAGTTCTCAGTTTGGTTCTCTAAAATTTTGTGACACTTGATTGTGTCCTCTTATGCATGTGTTTTCTTTTTTCTTGTCTTTTTATTATGTTGCCAATTGAACCCATGGCCTTTCCTGTGAAAGACAAGAGCTCTACCATTGAGCCACAGCCACAGCCCTGCATGTGTTATTTAATGTCAGTCTATAATTTGCACTAGTACCTAATTAATATTGAGAAATCTTTCTCTAGATTTCTCCCCATTCCCTGTCCTTTTCTGTTTGTTATGATGTCTTAATTTCTGCAGAAAAATATGTTGAGGCCAGCCATAATGGCACATATCTGTAATCTCAACACTTTGGAGGATGAGGCAGGAAGATTGCCATGAGTTCAAGGCCAACATGGGCTCCATAAGCAAGTTTAAGGCCAGCCTGCCATACATAGTGAGACCTTGCCTCAGAAAAAAGAATGTGTTGAGATTTACTGCCCTGCTATAAATGGAACCCATATTTGCTTTTTGTTTTTGAAGTGCAAATTTTGATTTATTTGCTAATACTCTATCTTCTAACTCATTATGTTTTCTTTAACGTTAATTTTTCTTTAATTTGTAATAGACATAAAGATTGCAATTGATTTTTTACTTCATTCTTTTAATTTTTATTGGGGTTTATATGCGTGGTGCATATTGTGTATGGAATCCAGGGTCTTCATGCTGAACTATGTCTCCAGTCCTTTTTAATTTTTTATTTTGAGATAGTGACTTGCTAAGTTGTTACATTGTATGGCTTGCTAGATGTTGTAATTCCCCTGCCTCAGCTTCACAGAATTCTGGTTTTATAGGTTTGCTATAATTCTGGTATTACAGGTTTGGACAATACTGTGTCCAAATTGGGATAATTTTTCTTTATCCCAGTTGAGTTCTCTGAATGTTGGAAATGAATGTCAATGATTTTTATAATGACTTTTTATTATGACTTACTATAATTCTTTCTTCTTAGAGTTTTATTTCATATTGACCTAGAAGTTATTCTGTAAAGAATATTTTAATTTTCACATCTAAGGTGTTTTGGTTTTCTGATAGTTGCCCCTTTTTTGTTGTTGTTACTATATTACAGAGAGAGAGAGAGAGAGAGAGAGAGAGAGAGAGAGAGAGAGAGAATATATATTTCTGTTATTTCAACATTTGGATATATATTATCTACCATCTGTTCTCAAGAAGATATTTCTAGTCCTTAGTCATGCCTCGTTTGTTGAGCACCTTCAAATTTGTTTAAGCTATTCCATCATATAGGTTATTATCCTCCAACATAAATCTCTTTATTCTTTTTCTCATACTCCTGGCACTCTTCATCTAGATTCCTTCACTGTGTAGTTCAATCCCCACCCTTCAGAATTCTCAGAATTCTGTAAAATACTCAGAATTCTATAAAATTTTCAGTAGTATGTAGTTCTAGAACATGCCTGAAAACTCATTAACATATTCTTCTTGGAATTAACAAGATCAACCTGGTCTTAAAGGGAAATAAGAGAGGACCTGAGAAAATATATATAAAGAAGTAAGACAATTAGAACGTTTGTAGAATGGATAATTAATAAGAAACATCTCAGCAAAGATAATGAAAACAGAAAATTTTGATTTGAAAAATAACAAAATGTTCACATGACTGTGCATAAGAAATAATGAAGCACAATGTCTGTATTTTTATGGAGAAATATACTTGAATGAAAATCAAGTATAAGTAGTTGATTTTATTTTTTTATTTTTTATTTTTTGGCAGAACTTGGGAGTAAACTCAGGCCCTTGCACTTGCCAGGCAAGTGATTATTCTACTGAACCATCTCCCGGGCCAAAGTAGTTGATTTTAATTTATTTGTTTATATTAGTATTGAAACTGATACAGGAAAGACTGATCATTGTAGTGAAGTGTGATAAATGAGAATTATAAAGATATTGTCAATAACAGTTCCAAATTGTATAGCTAATTTTAGTGTCCTTTTAAGTATTCATCTCTAACTGACAGACTTATTACTTAAATAAATCTATAAAACGTGTTTTGTGGCAGGAAAACAAAATTGTTTTATTTCTTTTAGATTTGGTGTCAAAGTATGAAAAAGTCAGCCATGGAAAAGTGCAGAGGTTTAGAAAACATTCAGCTGTTACTCTACATCAAAGAATACATAATAATGAGAAATCCTTTGAATGTGACAGATGTGGGAAGACCTTTACTCGTCACACAGATCTTACAGTACATCAGAGAATTCATACTGGTGAGAAACCCTATGAATGTAAGCAATGTGGGAAAGCTTTCAATCGTGCTTCCAACCTGCTACAACATCAGAAAATTCATACTGGTGAAAAACCATATAAATGTGAAGAATGTGGGATGACCTTTAGTCGTAATATAGACCTCAGAGTTCATCAGAGAATTCATACTGGTGAGAAACCATATCAATGCAAAGAGTGTGGAAAGCCCTTTAGTCGTGCTTCATACCTAACTCAACATAGAAAAGTTCACAGCGGTGAGAAATCCTATGTATGCCAAGAATGTGGGAAGGCCTTTAGTAAAAGTGGAAAACTTAAAATACATCAAAGAATTCATACTGGTGAGAAACCCTATGAGTGTAAAGCATGTGGAAAAACCTTTAGTCAAGCTTCTCATCTTGTGCAGCATGACAGGATTCATACTGGTGAAAAGCCCTATGAATGTCGTGAATGTGGAATGACCTTTAGTCGTGGAATAGATCTTAGAGTACATCATAGAATTCATACTGGTGAGAAACCTTGTAAATGTAAAGAATGTGGGAAGGCCTTTAGCTGTACCTCAAATCTAGTTCAACATGAGAGGATTCATACTGGCAAGAAGCCTTATGAGTGTGAAGAGTGTGGAATGACTTTTAGTCGTATTCATCAACTCATTCCTCATCAAAGAATGCACACTGGTGTAAAACCTTTTGAATGTAATGAATGTGGAAAGGCCTTTAGTCATGCCTCAGCACTTATTCAACATGAGAGAATGCATACTGGTGAAAAGCCCTATAAATGTAAAGAATGTGGAAAAGCCTTTATTCATGGTGGCAGCCTTAAGATACATCAAAAAATTCATACTGGTGAAAAACCCTATGAATGTAAAGAATGTGGGAAGGCCTTTGGTCGTACTTCAGACCTTGTTAGGCATGAAAGAATTCATACTGGTGAAAAACCCTATAAATGTCAGGAATGTTGGAGGGCTTTCGGTCATATTGAAAGCCTTAGAATGCATCACCGACTTCATACTGGTGAGAAACCCTATGCATGTAAGGAGTGTGGAAAGGCTTTTAAGAGTAGCCATCAACTTACTGTACATCAGAGAATTCATACTGGTGAGAAACCTTATGAATGTAAGGAATGTGGGAAGGCCTTTAGTGTATATACACGACTTACTCGACATCAGAGTATTCACAGTGGTGAGAAGCCTTTTCAGTGTAACAAATGTGGGAAATTCTTTAGACTTAATTCAAGTCTTAAAATACATCAAAGAATTCATACTAGAGAAAAACCTTACCAGTGAAAGAGCTTTGGAAAGGGCCACATACAATAAGCAATATATAGCTCATTAGTGTATTTATAATATTGACAATTTTAATGAAAATAATATGGGAATGCTTTTAAATATGGTTCAGTTCTTATGAAACATTAATTTACACTGTGAAAACTCCACAGACTATACATAATATTTTGAGTTACAATTCAAATATTCACATTCAGAGAACTTCTAATGTGTTTTTATATAACATAAGAAAAACTTCATGCTTCTTTATTCATTGGTTATTAGTGTATTCACTGAGGAAAATTCAGAGAATGTAGAGATGTCTTTTTATGTTTTATTTATAAAAGTTTACTGACTCTGTCTTCTTCCTCCTCCTCCTCCTCCTCCTCCTCCTCCTCCTCTTCCTCCTGCTCCTCTATCTCCTCCTCCACTTTCTCCTTCTCCTTCTCCTTCTCCCTCTCCATCTTCTTCCAATTATTACTGTTCTTTGGTACTGGGAATCAAATTCAGAACCTTCTGCTTGCTGGGCAGGCACTTGTGCTGCTGAGCCATATCCCTGGCCCTGTTAATTTGTATCATTAAATTAAGAAAATTCATATCACTCAAATTCCTATTGATCTAACAAATATAGAAAACAATAATGTGATTGCCATTCTATGCCTTAGAGTGTATCTTACATTGGACAAGATATTTATCCTACTGGGAGTCTTCTGCAAATTATTATAACTCTATCTATCTATCTATCTATCTATCTATCTAT